AAGGAGATTTTCTGAAGGAGGAATGTAAGGTCAAGACTCTTCCTTCAGAGTGGGGGCCACCTGCAACAGCTCATAGAAAGACAGTCTAAAGGGGAGAATCTGGGAGAAGCTGAGGGAGGAGAAACAGTGATCAGAATCTATTATGAAAAACAAAATATTTTCAACTAAAGAAAGAAAGAGACCCAGTAGACAAAGAGCCATAGCTTCCCCCACCCTTCAAACACCACACCTTCTTTCTCTCTTTTAAGAAAACAAGCAGGGAGATAGAAAAGACAAGCAAATGAGACAAAAGAGAGTATAAACTAAAAAAACAAAAAAGAAAAAACTAAAGAGCATGAGAAATGCACACACACACACACACACACACACACACACACACACACCGTTAAAACCCAAAATTGGAAACAATAATACAAACACAAAAGACCAGTAAGAAAACAAAAAGGTTCAACGAAATATGAAAAAAAAATTCTAAAAATACCTTTGAGTAAATTTTGTCTTGGCCATCTACTGCTGGGCATGGGGTCTGTCCTTACGTGTGGATTATGTACCCAGTAAGACTCCTTTTGAGAAACTAATTTTTCCTTGTGGGTAGCTGTTACCTGAAGATAGCTTCTTGGTTGGGGATGGGAGCTTGTGTCTACTTCCCCACTTCAGTGCTGGGACCCTGTCAGTGCTGGATATGTGTATGTTGCCACAGTTTCTGCGAGTTTGTATGTGTGCCATCCTTGTTCTGTCTTGAAGGATTTAATTCCTTGGTGTCTTCCATCCTCTCCAGTTCTTACACTCTTTCTGCTTCATCATCTGCAAAGTTCACTGAGCCCCAAGTGGAGGGAATTGGTGGGGTTATCCCACTGATAGAGACAACCCATTTAAGGCTGAGTGTTCTAATGTCTCTCACTCTCTGTGTATTGTCTGGCTATAGGACTGTTCCCATCTGTTTCAGGAGGAAGTTTTTCTGATGATGACTGAGCAATGCATGGGTCAATGAGTAGAACAGAATGTAGTTAGTCATTTTATTGCTACATCCCTTTAGTAGAACAGTAGCATTTGGTTTTCCCCTAGGTCCCTGGACTATGTAGTCTCAGGTTCTTAGCCACCCAAGCATCATTCAGTATGGTTCCATCTCATTGAGTGGGCCTTAACTCAAATCAGATAATGGTTGGTTACCACCACAAGCCTTGTGCCACTATTGTACCAGCATATCTTACAGGCAGATCAGGTCACCATTGTAGACTGAAGGGTTTGTAGCTGTGTTAGTGTTAACCCTTTTCCTTTGGTGGTATGTAGTGTACTTTCAGATACATGAACACTAGTAGGTGTGAGGACTCTAAGCACACATCAGCTAGAAGTCACTGTTCAATGAATTGTGTAGGTGTTGACTTCAACAATAGGACCTTACTATCAGTTTGTTGAAAGCTACCAATAGCCTCAGCAATAGTCAGAGTTAGGGGTTCCCATGGGGGACTTTAGGCAAAACTTGATTAGAAGTTACCCATTCGTGGTACTGGAAGCTTCATTTGATGACAAGAGATGTCCAGTTGGGGCTTTGTCTCCTCCAGTATTTGGCAACTTTGTTTATATATTCTTCATATATGTATATATTATAGAAAACTTTGACTGTTCTAGATCTCCGTATGACCCGTCAAATTGCCCTTAGTTTTAGTTGTTCCTCTCTATATCCCCTCCCTAGCCCTCTGTTGTGGAATATTCCTTTACACCATGTAAAAGCATGCCACTGTGTTTGGTTTAATAAAATGCTAAATGGCCAATAGTTAGGCAGGAGGTATAGGCAGGACTTGTGGACAGAGAGATCCCTGGGAAGAAGAGAGGCAGAGTCACCAGCCAGATGCATAGCATGCAGGACTGGCAGTACAGAGTATAGGTAACTGAGCCATGTGAAAGACCATAGGTTTAAAAATACAGGTTAAATTATATGAACTAGTTAGGAACAAGCCTAGGCTAAGGCTGAGTTTTCATGAATAATAGTAAGTCTCTATGTTGTTTGTGACCTGGTGACCCAAACAAAAATCTGTCTATAGGCCACCTCTTTCCTAGTTTGATTCTCCCATTTCAGCCTTCCCTTTCCCCCATACATCCATTCTATTTCCCACTTCCTAGGGATATCCATTCCTCCCCTTCTGCTCCCTCACTTTCTACCTGACCTCTATGGTTATATGGATTATAACTTGCTTATGGAAGACTTAAGAGCTGGCATCCACATATAAATTAATACATACTATCTTTGTCTCTCTGGTTCTGAGTTATCTCACACAGGATGATTTTTTTCTAGTTCCATTCATTTACCTGTGAGTTTAATTATTTAATTTTTTAACTACTGAGTAATGATGTGGAATTCTCCTTGTATGCAGTGAATGTTTTATTGCCATTGGTTAATAAAGAAGCTGTTTCAGCCAGTGGCTTAGTAGAGTAAAGCAAGGCAGGAATTTCAAGCAGATAGAGGAGGAAAGTAGGTGGAGTCAGAGAGAAGTCACAGCCGGAGACAGACGCCAGAGGCTTGATGGAAACTTACTGGCAGGCTACAACCATGTGGTGATACACAGATTAGTAGAAATGGGTTAATTTAAGATGTAATAGCTTAAAGTGTTGGCCAAATAGTATTGCAAATAATATAGTTTCTGTGTGATTATTTTGGGTCTTGGTGGCCAGGAAATTAATGAGCAGTCTCTGCCAACATACTCCATCATGTAAATGTAGCACATTTTTTTTTTAATCCATTCCTCCATTGACAGACTCTAGGCTCTTTTTGATTTATGGCTAAAAGGACAAGAACAGCAAAGAACATGGATAAATAAGTGTCTCTGTAGTAAGTTGTAGAATCCTTTGGGTATTTATCCAAGAGTGGTATAGCTGTATCTTTAGGTAGATTTATTCTCTTCTTTCTGAAGAGCCACCACACTGATTTCCATAGTGGCTCTATGAGTTTGTATTCCTACCAGCAATGGATGAGTGCTCCTTACTCTACATCCTTGTCAGCATGAGCTGTCATTTGTTTTTATTGATCTTGACCATTCTGACTAGTATAGGATGGAAATCTCAGTGTAGTTTTGATTTGCATTTCCTCCATGACTAAGGATGTTGAAAATTTACTTTTGTCAGCTGTTTGAGTTTCATCGTTTGAAAACCCTCTGTATAGTCCTGTAAACTATTTGTCCCCTACCCCTGCCTTTTTATGTTATCTATTTTAGATACTAACCCTCTCTAGGATGTACAGTTGGTAAGGGTATTTTCCCCTTCTATAACCTGTCACTTTCTCTGAATGACGGTGTCCTTTGCCATATAGAATCTTTTCAGTTTCATAAGATCCCATTTATTAATTGTTGATCTTAGTGCCTGTGCTCTGAGTATTCTGTTCTTTTCCAGGGCCAGTGAGTTCAAGGCTGCTCCCCACTATCTCTCCCATAAGAGTCAATGTATCTGGTTTTACATTAAGGCCTTTGATCAAATTGGAATTGAGTTTTTTTCAGAGTAATAAGTATGGGTCTATCTGGATTCTTCTATATGCAACCATACAGTATTACTTCATTGAAGATGCTATGTTATTTCTAGTGTGTATTTTAAGATTATTTGATAAAAATCAGGTATCCATAGGTGTGTGGACTTGTATCTGGGTCTTCAATTTGATTGAATTTATTAAATTCAATTGATTGTTGAATTGAATAATTTCATTGATCAACAGGACTGTTTTTATGCCAATATCATATATTATGTTTTTATTACTGTAAGTCTGTAGTAGAATTTGAGGTTAATAATGTTGATACCTCCAGTGTTCTTTAATTATTATGGATTTTTTAGATGCTTTGGGTTTCTGTGTTTCTATATGAAGTTAAAAAATGTCCTTTCAGTTTCTATGAAGAATTGTGTTCAAATTTTTATGTGGATTTCATTGAGTCTATTGATTGATACTGGCAGGATGGACATTTTTTATTATATTTATTATACTGATCCATGAGCATGGGAGATCTTTCCATCTTCTATATCTTTTTCAATCTCTTTCTTCATTGTCTTAAAGTCTTTAATATACAAGGCTTTCATTTGTTTGGTTAGAGTTAGATATCTTTGGGACTATTGTGAAAGATATTGTTTCCCTAATTTTTTTCTCAGTCCATTTGTTAGTTGCAAATAAGAAGGTGACTGGTTTTTATGTGTGTTAATTTTCTATCCTTTGATGAAAAAGTATTTATCATCTTTAGAAGTAGTTTAGTGGAGGTTTTAGAATCATTTATGTATAAAATCGTATCATCTTCAAATAAAGCTACTTTGGCTTCTTTCCTATTTGTGAGCCTTCAATCTCCTTCAGTTGTCCTATTGTTCTAGCTAAGATTTCAAATACTTTACCAAATAGGTATGAAGAGAGTGGACAATCTTGTTTTTTTCCCTGATTTTAGTTGGAAATATTTTCAGTTTCCATTTAGGTTGATATTGCCCATGGGCTTGCTGTAAACTATCTCTATTGTGTTGAGATATGTTCCTTGCATCCCCAATCTCTCATGGATTTTTATCATGAAGGGATGTTGGACTTTGTCAAAAGCCTTTTCTGAATCTAGTAAGATGATCATGTGTTTTTTTATTTCATTTTGATTATGTGATGAATTACATTTATTGATTTATGTATCAAAACCTCTGATAAAGAGGATAAAACTGACTTGATCATGGTGGCTGATATTTTTGATCTTAGATTCAGTGTGCAAGTGTTTGGCTGAGAACTTTTGCATCTATGTTCACATGGGAAATTGGTCTGTAATCTTCTTTCTTTGTTGGGTCTTTGTGTGGTTTACCTATAAGAGTAATTGTGGCCTCATAAAAAGAATTAGGCAAATGTTCCTTCTATTTCTATTTTGTGGAATAATTTGAGCAGTATTAACATTAATTCTTTTCTGAAGGTCTAGTAGAATTCTGCACTGAATACTTCTGGCTTTGGGCTTTTATTATTATAATTTAATTGATTTTTTTCTCTTTGACTTCCTGTTGCCTGCAAGATGTAGGACTTTCAGCTTCTCCAATACCACATCTACCTGCATGCTGCCATGCTCCCCATCATGATGATAATGAACTGGACCTCTGAAATTGTAAGCAAGCCAGCCCAGGTAAATATTTTCTTTATGTGAGTTTCTGTGGTCATGGTGTCTCTTCACAGCAATAGAAACCCTAACTAAGACAGACGTTGATACCAGAGACTGGGGTATTGCTGTGATAGGCCTAGCTATGTTTTTGTTTGGAGGATTTTGGTACCTTGGGTTATGAAAACAATGGAATGTTTTAAACACTGTTTAATGGGCCAAACTAGTAGGAGCATTGAAGACAGTGGTGTTAAGAGTTATTTGAACTGTTGGAGGCTCACTGAAGAGATTTTAAAGAATAAATTTAGTATATTGCCTAGAGATTGTTATTGTAATATTTTGGTGAAGAAAGTGGCTGTCTTTTGCCCTTGTCTGAATAGTCTGCCTGAGGCTAAAGTGAATATTTTTGGATTAATTCCATTGGCAGAAGAAATCACAAAACAACCTAGTATAGACTGTTTTGTGGTTATTAGTGGTAACTCTAGTGAAGATTTATAATTAAAAGGAGCAAGGTGAGCAGGGTAAATAATAAAAAGTAAGTTTTGGGGAGAAAAAGAGCACCGGGGAGTGGAGTGGAGCTAAGTCCTGTGTTCAAGGCAATAAATAGATTAATAAATGTAATAAAGGGAGTGACCTCAGGGTAAGATTCCACCCAGCTAAGTTTCCAATTTGTGGAAAGAAAAACTTAAAGCTGGGTGTGGCAGAACTCTGAGTTTGAGGCCAGCCTGGTCTACAGAGCAAGTTTCAGTACAGGCAAGCTTAGGCAATGAAAGACAGAAATCTGGTGAAGATATAAAATGAAGATTGAACAAGGGAGCCATGTTCTCGTCCCAGCAAGCAACAGAACTCGGCAGCTTTGGCCATGTGGTTCTGATTTTAGAGTTAAGGATAGGAGAAAAGAGTCATGGAATAAAGGTACTGAGGCCAGGCATGTGTCAGGGGTGTTACCTAATGGAGGTCTATTAGAGAGGCCATTGTGTGAAGCTGTGAAGTTGGAAGCCTTGATTGCCTTGAAGAACCCAAGATGTTAGAGATACCAGAGTCATGAGATACCTGGAGAGGAACACCCCTAACAGGGAGAGGAGCCAGCTCTATGGAGAGAAGTATGTTGCAGTCAATAAAACTGAACAGAGTTGGAAATCTAAAGAGTATTGGACATAAGGCATGGAAATTCGGAGTTTGGAGTTTGCCCAGATAGTTTTCCATCTTATTCTGTTACAATATTTCCTCACTATGCGCCCTTCCCTTCATTTTGGAATGGTAATATATCTAGATTTATATTTATCTAGATAGGTTTATATCTAGATAGATATAGATATCCTGTGCCATTATATATTGAAAGTATGTGATTTTTTTTATTTTGATTTTTACAGGGGGTTACAGTTAAGAGATCACATGACTCTCAGAAGAGACTTTGAACTTTGGACTTTAAAATATTGTTGAGACTGCCATAGACTATGGGGACTTTTAAAGTTGCATTAAATTAATTTCGTGTTATGATATTGTTACAAGATTATGGGGGTCAGGGAGTGGAATGTGATAGCTTGAATGTAGTTGGCACCCATATTCTCATTGGGAGTTATGGCTTTGTTGTTGTGGGTATGACCTTGTTGGAGGAATATGTCACTGTGGGGCAAAGCTTTGTAGTTTCCTATGCTTAGGATATTGCTCAGTGTCTCGGTTGACTTCCTGTTGCTTGCAAGATATAACACTCTTGGATATACATCCAATATTGGAGTGGGAGGCAGATACTGCTACAATTTGGTTTTCTCGTAGAATGTCTTTCTCCATCTATTGTCATTGAAAGTCTTGCTGGGTATAGTAATCTGGGCCAGCATCTATGGTATCTTAGAGTTTTTAGAGCATCTATTCAGGCCCTTATGACTTTTAGAGTCTCCATTGAGAAATCTGGTGTTCTCTTAATGGGTTTGTTTTTACATATTGCATTGTATTTTCCCTTTGTAGCTTTTTAATATTCTTTCTTTGTTCTGTGTGTTTAGTATCTTGATTATTATGTGTCGTGGAGAAATTCTTTTCTAGTCCTATAAATTTTGTGTTCTGAATGCTTCTTGTACCTCAATAGACATCCCTTTCTTTAGGTTAGGGAAATTTTCTTCTATGATTTTGTTGAAAATATTTTTTTGTCCCACTGACCTGAGTTTCTTCTTCTTCTTCTTCTTCTTCTTCTTCTTCTTCTTCTTCTTCTTCTTCTTCTTCTTCTTCTTCTTCTTCTTCTTCTTCTTCTTCTTCTTCTTCTTCTTCTATTTCTATTATTCTTAAATTTGGTCTTTTCATAGTGTTCTAGATTTCCTGGATATTTTGTGCCTGGATATTTTTTTTCAGATTTAACATTTTCTTTGACTGAAGGATCAATTTCTTTTACCTTGCTTCAACACCTGAGATTTCCACTTCCATGTCTTGTACTCTGTTAGTGTGGTGTACTCTGAGGTTTTTTTGTTTGACTTCCTAAATTTTTCATTTCCAGTTTTATGTCAGGTGAAGCTTTCTTTAGTGTTTCTATTTCTACTTTCAGGTCTTGAACTATTTTCATTATTTTATTGAACTGTTTGTGTTTTCATAGACTTCATTAAAAGGATTTATTAACACCCTCTTCAAGGTCCTAGAACACACTCAAAATTGCTATCCTGAAGTTCCTGTCTTGGGCTTCAGCTTTATTTCATTTCCCAGGGTCTACTAGTAGGGTTGTGATGGAGACATATTGTCTTGCTGTTAATGATTATGTTTTTGTTCTGGTGTCTAGGTATCTTGGGTTGGGATGATGGAAGTGATTTTAGGTGTTGATATCTGGTCTTATCTTTTTTAGTGCATGTTTCATTTCTTGGTTTCTGTTGTCCACTCTCGATCTTGATAAAGTGTGATGGCTATGGGTTGCCTGGTGAGCGGTGCTTCTGCAGGTGTGTGGGTAGCAGAGAGGAATAGATGTGGGCTTGGAGAAAAGGATGAGAGAGGCTTCAAGAAAGAGCTAAGGGATAGGGTTGGGGATCCTAGGGAGTTGGATCTGTGGTGGGAGGAGAGGATTCTGCAAGTGTGCTGTGGCAAGGCAAAGAGCTGTCTGGAGAAATAGGGATAAAATGGGTAGGGAAACCCTAGGTCTGAACCAAGGCTTGGAGTCTCCATAAAATGGAATGGAGGTGAACAGAGGGGCACCTGTAAGCAGCTTGTTCCCAGGCTAAGGGTGAGAATGGTAAAGCATAAAGGGGGACAGAAAGGAAAATGTGATTCACCTACCTGAGTTCTTGTCAGGTATGGCCACTGTGTTCCTAGGTACAGAGTGTTTCTAGGATTGGTGGGTGATGCAAAGGTAGAGGAAAGGGAGAAAAGCAAGGATTGGGTGAGATCCCTGGAAGGTTTTGACAACTTCCCAGAGGTCTGAGACATTGGTTCTTGACTTGGCTGTTCCCAAGTCAGTAACACAAACACATTCAGTACTTTATCTGCTTTACACATTCACTCAGTGCTTCTTCAGCTCCACACAATGACAGGTGCTCATACCACACACATACACACACACACACACACACATACACACACACACACACCATATAAACACCACAGACACGTGCTCCTACAGACATACAGACAGAGACATACACATAGACACAGACCCATACAGACATACATACAGACAGATAGACAGATACACACACACATATAAACACCACAGACACATGTACTCAGATACACAGACACAAACATACACATAGACACAGACCTATACAGACAGACAGACAGACACACACACCATATAAACAACACAGATACATACAGACACACAGACACACACAGACACACACGCATATACACACAAATGTAATTGAAAAGTTTTTTTTTAAGAATCAGAATCATAAAGAATAAACCAAATACATCTCCTTCCTCTTCTGCCCTATTCTTTCCAGGCCTTACTTTGTTGTTTTGTTTTTAGCTTGGGATTGTTGGCTTATTTATCTTTCCTATATTTGCTTTTGTATATGCAAATATATTAGACCAAAATATATTCTTACCCCTTCATTCACTTTATTGCATAACAGGAGGTAAATTACACGCACTATTTTACATGTTGAATTTTTTTATGAAACAGGATAATCTATCATCTCTGTATCCATTCAAGAAAGAAACCCATTAATGGTTTTGCATCTGCAAAGTATCTATTATGTAAATATACTATGGTTTACTTATTGTCTAAACCCTGCCACACTAAGTAGCTACATCATTACAGCATTGCAGAAATGACTGTAAGAAAAGTTCCCCAAAGGGAATGCTCCCATGAAATTTTTCATCACATTAAACTGTTTCCCCTTCAAGGCAAAATGATGTAATCTCAAATTTTAGTCCTCTTTCTTCATTGTTTTCTATTGGGCTCCACATGTATTTTGAGTGTGAAATGTCATTGACATGATTTGTATATTTTTTCCAGTTTATAGTTTTATCGTTGACTTGATTTCTTTTCTGCCATTGTGAAACAAAAAAATACCATGACACAAAAAAACTCAAAGGAGAGAGTGTTTATTTTGTTACAGGGCACCACCAGAAGTGACCACTCAGACAGAGTGTATAGGCAACTGAAAGTCTTTACTCGGATCTACGGGGACTACACTCAGGTTCTCAGGGCCCAAGTACAGCTTTTAGGGTGAGGGGTTTATAAAAGCAAAAGCTACATCCTGGTATCTCACTTAGCAGTTGTAGCAGGGATAGGGGTGGGAATGTACAAGCGGACAGTTTAACAGATTCTGAGATAGGCAATTAGCTGCAGGGGAGGGTTGCATAAGCCGGCAAGAGAAGTTAGCTGGGGCATCTTGACCTTGGTTCTAGAATAGAATTGGATAATTTTCCATGGGATTTTCCATCCAGGAGATCAACTTGTAGTTAAAACTAAAATGGCCTGCCTCAGCAAGAACTCAAGATGGAGGAACCTCTGCAGCGTCTTGCCCGGACACAGTTTCAGCTCCGAGCTTGCCCTGAGAGCTGCACCACATCAGTGAGAGCAAACATGGAGAAAAGAGTGCTTG